TGTCTACAGACAAAATTTCCGCAATGCTGTATGTGAGAAAAGTGAAAGTAAGTACAGGAAAATACACTTCCATATCAAATTATATTATGTATTTCAATTGTTCCGATGTTATAATGCATTGTAAAAAATCTATGTACAAGCTTGTAAAATAATTTGACATTAACTAAATTTCAATTTCAAGAAATTTTATGTTAAACATGTCGCGAAAAATAAAAATGTTCTATATTTTTGCTTTCTATTTACTGATTTCAATACTGATATCAAAATTTTGTCATTAGTGCTTTTACCTGAAAAGGATTCCTATAATAAGATTAATTATATATATATAATAAAATTAAAATAATGCTATAACATATAACGTACTCTGCACTCATTAGTTCTTCCCTATTGTTCTTGATTTGAACTTGCATGGCTTCTTGATAATCCACTTTCATTCTGTGTAATTCGCGAACTGCTTTGCCCCATTGTTCTCTAAAAAATTCTTTTCCTTTCTGAGCATTATCTAATTTTTCCTCGAGAATTTTTACTTCTTGCAATAAAGACGCTGTTTGATCTTGAGTTAATGATGCCTTTTGATATATTTGCAATTCGTCCATTTGTTTACTTATCGACGATTTCATATTCTCGTTTTCATACGATAATATTTCCATTTGTGTCTCTAAAGCAACTTTTTTCTCCTCAAGTTTAGCAATCTGCATAAAATGTAAATATCATACGATATAATATTTAATAGTCCTCTTTTTAAGTATATATTACATAAGAGATGCAGATCCAAAACGAAATATATATAACTGAGATATTCTTCACAAACCTTTGACGTAAGATCACTTTGCGTTGCATTCAACAAATCTTTAAGTTCTTGTAACTTGGTTTCATATCTCCATTGCAAATCCTCGTTTGCCTTTATCAGTCTGGTCTCATTTTCCAGGCTCTTCAATCTACGATTTCGCAAATCTTCAGTAGCGTTGTTTAAACTGTTGGCCAATGTTTTACATTGTTCGACACTGTATGCGAGCTTTGATTCCAGATTTTCCTTCTGCATTCGCCATTCCTCACTCAGCATGTTCAAATGTCGTTCTTCCTTTCTTTTGAGCTAATTCATATCACAAATAATGTCATTAAATAATTATCGATCAAATTGCTGTTATCTCGTACCTCAGCTTTTACCTCAGCTTTAAACATTTCTTTTTGGCGTTCCTTCCAAGTTTCGAGCTCGTCCACTATTTTATACGCTAAGCTATCGTCCAATATTGGTGGGCCAAGATTTTTATCTTAAGTAAACCATTTCAATAAATAAAGAGCTGAAGTTCTATCGTTAAGAAATAATACAAATAGGAAATAAACATAAATATTTTAATAAATTTAATGTATATCTACCGATGGTTTCTTTCTTTAATATACAATGCGGTCCACGATCTTCTAATTTCAGTGTAATGTCGATATCAGCAATTTTATTTCGATCTGTATCGAACAGAGATAATTTATACTGACATTCGAACTGAAAAAAGTTCTTGTTTTAATTTTTATTATTTTATAAGATTTATATATATATATATTAATATTACCTTTTCTTGACAAAATAACGGTTTTACATCAAGCACTAGTAGTGACAATTCATCACTTTCATTTATGTCGCATATACTAATTTTCGGTGGAAAAGATTCTAGTAATTGTTTTATTTCATTTGGTGCGGATATAAAGTGAAATTGGCATACAACATCTTGCAATTTAACTTTCTCGTTTAGTAAAACTGGCATTGTTGCATACGCTGTTGACATGACTTCAGTTTTTGGATGGTGAAATCTATGTAGAAAAATTATATTAAAAAGAATTGAAAAGGAAATATTATTATATTCCTTATTATATTCCTTTAATTGAAAAAATATATATCAATCAAACCGAAATTTAATTTCCTGTCCCGATAACATTTCAGATACCAATGATATTGCCTCAAGTGAAATGCGTAAACAATAGCAGTGATAAGATCCATCTCTGATATGATTTTTATTAACATTGTACAGGATTCCATCGCACGAGCGCGAACATGTAACTTTAGATTCCGTTTGATGTTTTAAGCATTGGCAATCAACAGATTGTTTGTTTACATTTTTATATTCCTTTGTACATTTTTCTTCATTAAGAATATTCTTGAAACTAGATTTTCCATAATCGCCACTAGGATTTCTGTGAGACTCAATTTCTGGACATCTCTGAAATCAGATATTTTAAATTATACATAATCTTCACACTATCAATTTTGATAATCACTAGGGTGGGATATTATTGATAAAATGACTAAGTTTCTATTCTACCTGATCGACATTATTTATACTTTCTTCATTACGATTCATTTGAGTGTTAGACATCATATGATTGTTAGAGTTCATTGCTGTATCAGAGTTGAACAAAATATTTGTTTTATTTCCAATATATTGCAATTTAAGTTGCAGATCAAGGTAAAGTTTCTGATGGTTCTGGTTTTCAATGGATTTTTCTATCGAATCTTGTTTAATTAGAAAACATTGTTCGTTTAAAGTAGTACTCGCATGCGAAGCACATTTGAGAAATTCTTGCAAATTATCTACGGGTACTAGAGATTGCAGATTAACTGATGATTCAGCTATTAAGTCATTTTCATGTTTTAAATATATTAACAAATACGGTTTTGATTGTAAGTATTGCTTTAAGACACTTAAGGAGCTTCGTATTCTCATTATTACTTTTTCGGGGACAAAATGAGATCTATTAGATTCTGTCTTGAACGGTCTCAGTTCTACATCATTTTCCAGAACTCGATATGAGAGTACAGTGCTATGTTTATTTGAATTTTCAGGTAATAATAAATGCAAATTTTTTATGTACATAGCCATGATACTTAATATGAATAATTCACAACAAGTATCTAAAGGCCCCAATTGAATCAATTGCTCATCAGGATACAAATAAGGGATTATTTTAGTACTTTCCAAAATAACATCTTTTTCTATCAAACTTCTACTGTGCTACGAAATAATATGATGTGATAGTGATAACTTATATATTAGGTATGGAAAAAAGTTCGTGGCGTTTTTCCTGTTAGATGTAAACGAGAAAAACGCCATGAACTTTTTCCCACACCTAATATATATATATATATATAT